TAGGGCCAGGAGCCCCCTAGTAGCGTCCTTGCTCCTAGTAGCGATGCTCTTTGTTCCTCGTAGCTTCTTGTTCCTAGTAGTAGGGCCAGGAGCTCCGTAGTAGCGTCCTTGCCAGGAGCCCCCTAGTAGCGTCCTTGCTCCTAGTAGTCACCTAATATATTTCTAATATTGTCAAGCTTTGGTCGCTAATCACTAAACCGCTGCATTCCTTGTCCAAGTTCATTCCTGGTATTGTGCCCACTCCGACGGATTGCTCCTGCCATTCAAGTGCATGTGGATACGAAACACGTTTCTTGTTGCAGTTTGTGCACACAAGGTCAAGTTCGATGATGGCATAATATGTTTTTGTTGGTGCAATTTTGATTGCGATTGAGCACCGTTAGCAACTCGTCCTGCTCTCCAAGCCACTGCACCAGCAAGCTTTGGTTCCCTGGATCTGCATCTAAGACCTTTCAAGTGACACATGACAAATTTCGAAAAAGCCTTAAGTAGCGTCCTTGCTCCTAGTAGTAAGGCCAGGAGCCCCTAATGGCTAGCGATGCCTTTGCTCCTAGTAGCGTACCTCTAAGACCTTTCTAAAAGTGTATTAAAAGTTAAAAACCATTTCAAGCTCTGCGTGAAATATGGGCGACACTGTACTTCGTCGTCCCCGTCACCCCCACCTGCCCCCGAAGCATCCGCAAAGAGGCGCTGTCAGCCTGAGCCTTGTTGGGCACTGATGTGCCGACGTTCACAACACCAATTCTGCCAACCAAATGCCGCAAACTCCACCAGGAAAAAGGAACAAGGACTGTTCTTATCGAACACCAGCCTGAATCACAGCAAACTCGTGAAGTTCTTGCTCTGTGGCGGCGGCGTCAGGCAAGGAAGGCGGGTTTTCCAAAGTTCGCTTCACCCAAAGCTTCACATCGACAACGTCACCAACTTGGCACCTACAAGGAAGATCTGGCCAGGTGTTTGGTTGACGACACTTGGAATCTTTTTTGACCACGGCACGTCTGCGATCTTTGGAAGTCTTCACCGCAGCGGAAAATGACGTGCGCTGAAATAGGCTCAGAGAGTTGAACGTACTCATCGCCGACCTGGCCATGCGTGACCAACAAACGAGTGGGTTGCTAGTGAAACAAACAGAAATAGGGCAGCAAGGCGCACGGCACATCAAAGCAAACTAAAGGCCAAACTGGGGCAGTCTGTGGCAAGTCCAGCTCACCAGCGGCAGGCCGCGTTTGCACACGCATGTGTGCCAGACTAAACGCAACCATGTGACACACTGTGACACACCATCATCCCGCTCATTACACTCACACGCGTATTTGCCATTCCCCAATGGCACGGAGCCAAGCAAGCGTGCTTTCCACCGCACGTACTGAGCCTACAAGGATCACTTTTGGTCTTGGCCCCGAAAATGAGCAGTATGAGGTGAGAACAATGGACATGTACAAACTGCACATGAAACAGCATAGTAGCCATCTACTAGCTACTTGTTAGCTCACCCTACAACGGCCTCGCCACATGGGTTGAACGCTGTCTGCGCACACAGGGTAGGAAAGGAAAGTAATGCACAAAAAGCGCCGTCATGCTTTATTAATTGTCTTTTTATTGGTCTCTTGTCACTTCATGGTTCTTACCAATTTAATCTACATATAAAGCATTTTGTAGAACCCACAAGCACAGAATAAAGAAAAAAGGGTAGTTTTTATTGTAGCTTTTTATCTTGCTCTGTTTATCCTCATTCACCTTTATGTGTTTACCCTTCAGGATCACTTCTATCTTATACCAAATCATTCTTGATGTCTTATTAACAATAATTTGCAAACCTTGGCTTATTTATGACCTACAAACCAATAATTTATTAATTGGAATTCTTATGGCCATTACCATCAATCATCTATAAATTTATTGTTGAGGTGAGCAGTTAGAAAAACCAATGCAACACCCTTAAAGGCTGTTTAAGACTTCTTCCGTGCCAACACACAGGTGGCCTTAGACATCAATGCAGGCCCGCCCAGGTGCCGCAAAAGCTCCTGGTTGAAAAAAAACAAGGCAAAATTTCTTGTTCCTAGTAGAATTCTTGCTCCTAGTAGCGATGCCAGGAGCCCCTAGTAGCGTCCTTGCTCCTAGTAGTAAGGCCAGGAGCCCCTCGTAGCTTCAAAACCAAAATGCACAATTTCTTGTGCGTGCGCATCACTCTCCTGCCCCTTCTCAGCACTCACGAAAATACTTGGTATGCGAGGCAAAAGGAGCTCCTCAGCCTCGGCAAAAGTGTCTCGAACTTGTCGCTTTGGGGTCACTAGCGGTGCGCGTCCGCTCCCTATGTCCACTTCTGTTTTAATTGACATGGAAACATCATGAACCAATGCGGTTGCGGTGTGAGGGGCAAGCAACCAGCCCCTGCAGGAAAAATGACAAATGCCAGCAGAAATGACCATTTAAACACTTTGCGGCGCTTCTCGTACTGTGCTTGCCGAGCTGCACCTTCCATAGAGATCGACACGTCGGGGCGATGGTCATTGTAAACAACCACTGCAACGGCACCTGCATCCTCCGCGTTGGTCGCCTTGACCTGAAAGAAGCCTCGGAAGACATGTTGCTGTGCGGGGAACCTGCCCAAACAGGGAACAAAGCCAACCTAATAGCCATGGCCTCCAACCTATTAGCTTCTAGCTACTAGTAGCTTCTAGTAGTAATGGCCTCCAACCTAGAAGCAATGGCCTCCACCTAGTAGCGTCCTTGGTCGCAAAGATGTTAGTTGCAGTTTCCGGGTGGGAAGCCACTCGTTTGGCAAGATCACAAGCTTTCTATACTTGTTGTCGGCGTTGTTGGTATGGTGGCGCCGCCCCAAACGGTAATAGGGTCACTGTCTTTGTTTGATCACAGTCTTGGATTGCTTGCTTTGTTGTTGGTTTACGCTAAGTTAGAAACGAATCAGGACCACCAATTATCACACGGAAATTGCTGCTTTGCGCAACACAAATTCCAGGTTGGAGCCCATCGCTCTTGGTCTTGGGTTGGAAGGCCATCGCTCTTGGGTTGGAGGCGTTGGCAATCGCTATAAGGTTGGGAAAATGCAGCAAGTAAAAATAGCATGCTGGACTTCTGCCCAGCCTGAAAATTGGTGTCATCCGGTGGTGTTGGAGGAAGTCCAACAAGAATTGCGTTTTAATTGGTTCTGATGACTTCTTCGTGCACCAACCACCGTGCTTTGCTCTTCCTTCTTCCCACTGCACTTATCGCAAAACACAGGCAGGTTGTAAAGCATCTTCTCGACAACCCATTGAATCGTTGGACATTTCCGTCTTTTGTGTTCTGAACGCGGCAAGCAGTGGGCGGGCACTCCAAAAGACCTAAGTGTGCTATGCGTTACTGACAATATTGTCGTTTTACGATCGCTTCTGTAAAAGCGCAGCCATGCTAATAAGCACGCACGCTTGACCCTACTTCTGCGTTCGCCAAGAGGCAGCGGCCACGCTTCACCAGGAGCACTGCCCCATCGAAGCGCTCCACAAAGGGATCACAAGCGTCTGGGTTGTTGGTGGCCGTGGCCAAATGCCCTGACGCGGAATCCACGTGTACTGGGTTGAAGCTGCCACCAATACCAGTGACCTGCATGGATCCTGGGCCAGAAATTTGGAGCAGCCAGTTGTTGGCCTCAAGAAGGGCAATGTTGCCGTGAAGAGTTATTTTTTGACGGGAACATGGCCGCTTGAGGCTTTCAATGCAACCATGGAAATTTAGGTTTTGTAAGCTTAAACAACATTGGAAGCTAGCAACGGAAGTAAATCTATTTCCCTATCTTTCCTCTCCATCATAAGCCTGAATCAAGAGTCCTCAATGAAATTCTAATGCAATGCTCACCGTCCACTGGACATAAAAAGTTTGCCAAACGAAAGGTCTTAAACTTGTTCTGCATCATTGTGGGGTTTTGTTGTCTGCACTCCGCGTCCTCCGTCCTTCATCTCACACTCAAGCTTTATATACCGAACACCTCACACTTCATCTTGCGGCAGTGCCAAAGCTCCTTCGTTGAACACCCGAGTCACTTTCTCAGTATGAAAAAACGGTGCTTCAGACAGGAAGCTCTCCGATTTCCCCATCATTCTGTGCTCTTGTTTTGCACCTCGTCCTCCTCCTCCTCCTCTTCCTCCTCCAAGTCCTCCTCATCTCCTTCTACACCAGTCATTGCATCACAACATTTGTTCACTTCATCACAAAGATCATTTTCACACCACATTTATCACAACATACTTCATCACGTATCGTCATATTATCACCACACACTAGAATAGACGAGCAGACTTCATTCCACTTTATCACAAAACATCGTCACTGCATGCCTCATTTCTTTGACCGCAAACCTATCATGACACACTGACAGTCACTGTGCCCAAGAAATGTCAGGACACTTTAGGATGGCTTTGGGTTGGAGGGCATCGCTGGTAGGTTGGAGGGCAGAGCGGCCTTAGAAAAAGCTATTTCTTTGTCCGACTTTGTCCTGGCTCTTTTCTCTATTCCTGCCGTGAAAATTCATGGCTGAGGCTTTGCCAAAACCTGAGCAGTTTAGTTGGTACCCTTGTAGGCCTGGAACAGACCGTAAACAATTGACGTGGAAGGGCGTTCATGACTTTTGTAGGTTCCAAAAACTGAGAATCTTGTGCAGGTTGGCTACATGAAAAGAACATCTGGAAAGTAAAGGGAATCCAAATCAATCAAAAGTCATCAACCCGCATGATTTCGCTGTAGGGGAATCAAACACCAATGGGCACGAACCCCGTGCAAGTTTGGAGTGGACGTAACGTTTGACAATTAAGCCGGAAGCTATTAGTAACAAGTGCATCGCTTCTAGTAACAAGCGCCTTACTAGTAGTAACAAGAAACTATTAGTAACATACCATCCACTGAGACTATGGCAGCAGTTTCTCCATACTTTTCCACGATGCATCGCCACCAAGCGTTCAGGTGTTCATTATTGGCAGTTTGATAGCCATGAGCGTGGGTGGCTCTATCGAATCAATTGCTTTGGAAAATGGATGCGTTCTCGTTTAGGTTGGAGGCCATCGCTATTAGCTTCCTTGAAGAAGCGTGAGCTATCCTGCGTCCATGCTAGTGGCGTCTCAGTAAGGTACTGGCTTACTAGTTCCTTACTTGATTAAGTAGGCGGTAGGAAACACACGGCCCAAAAAAAAAGGAATTGAAGAGTTTGCCCAGGTGGCTAGTAGGAACAAAAAGCCACTAGTAACAAAGGGCATCGCTACTAGGAGCAAGGATGCTACTCGTAGCTCCTGGCCTTGCTAGTAACAAAAAGCTAGTAGTAACAAGTGCATCGCTTCTAGTAACAAGTGCCTTACTAGTAGAAACAAAAAGCTAGTAGTAACAAGTGC